TTTTTGCTGCTTGAAAGTTTGTTAAGGGTTCATTTGGTAATATGATTTCTTCAACATTGATATGTTAGTTCATTTTATTAATAGTTTTGGACTTTTTTAAATGATTTTAAAAAATTACTTATCTTTTTTTTATGTTGTGCCTGTGTCTGTGCCTGTGCCTATATACTTATTTCCAATCAATCTGAAATGAAAAGTTGGGTCTCTCTTCTAATTTATAATTACCATATGCTAATGTATGAATACCATCTTCTAAAATAACTCTTTTATCATCTTCTGCGCTTAATGCTACTTTGTTAATTTCTTCTGTATAATGATTATGACAATGAGATCTTATGACATTCATTTTTCTCGTGTGATCTCTCCTGCTAAGCAGGCAGTCTTTATAATCTTCATGTGTTGTATATTTCTTGACTATATTTTTCTTTACTCCCTTACATTTTTTCTTATCTTCTCCGTGTAATTTGTATGAATACAACTTTGATCTGAGTCAAACAAATTTTTCAATTTTTGCTCCTCCAGCTTCATCTTTAAACATTCCTAATATTTTCTTATTTACACCTACTTTAAATCCATTTTGAACAGCTGGATGATTTGGATCAAATTCACTTGTATCGAATTTTCTTTTAACATTGTATGCAATATCTGAATAAAAGTCTTTTCTTTTTATTTCATATGCTAATGAATCTGTGTCTATGAATAACAGTTTAGCTCTATAACCATATTTATTTTTCATGTAATCATAGTGAAATTCATAATGAGTGTCTTGCTCAAATCTAGGATGCACATACCCAAATAAATGGGTTTATTATATAATAATTTTGCCCTTTTCATATCGATAGCTATCAAGTTTTCATCAAATATAGTTCTACTTCATAGTTGGGTTTTGATGCTAATTTAATAGCTTCTTTTCTTTTAGTGACTTGCTCATAGCCCATCCATATAAATTGTTAGCATCTAAATACTGTATGTAAGTAGACTCTTTACTTTTATCATATGTTTCGATATATTTGTTATTAGCAGTTCCTAGCCTGTTTAAAATCATACTAATTCCACCTCTTATTCCTTGCTTTATCATTAAAATCATATCATAATCACTTAATAATTCTAATTCTATTTTTGTTTCTTTCAATGCAGCATCCCAAGCTAATCCTGATGAAGTATAGTACCAAGCAGGATCTAATTTATATTTTTTCATGCATACATCTCTAAAATTTTCAAAGACATCAGCTAATAATAATACATCTGAAACATTGTATAAATTATGATAATCTCTAAAGGTTTTACAATTAAACTCTTTCCATATAGTTTGTGCATGTAAATAATCTTCATCACTAATATCTTCATCATTTAATCTTGAACAAAATGATTATTTTGGGGGTAATTGCGTTTCAGACAGCTTACTAATAGAGTCAACCCAATCATAGGGATAAACACCTTTTCTTAATAATAAATCTAGTTTACTAACTGAATATCATTTTCCAATATTATTACACTGTTGTTTTGTTAGATTCTTAGATAAGCTATCTAAACTAGAAGCCATAAATCTATAACTATCTATAAGCGTAGTTCTCGCTTAACCTCCACATTCTTGCCTTCTTTAGATCCTTTGGATCCAATAGACTTAATAAAAACACCGACTTTAATTTCTCTAGAAAAGCTGATATACTTTTCTTCATTGTTAGGAATACAATTTAATTTTCCTTCTGACAATTTCTTTATAAACAAGTGAGAATTATAATCGGATAAATTATGAAATAGGACTGGAATGAATTTTGGAATTTTAAATTGTAAATTACAATCTTTATGAGCAGCTTCTCTATATTTACCTGTAATATGACAATGATCTTTTACTTTATCTTCTTTTAATAATTCTTCGCAAATGTGATATTTTTCTGCTTTATTAAAATACTTTTTGTCTTTAGGTGTAAATATCATCTTTTTTGGAAATTTTAAATAATTGTTATAAATCTTTTTAATATCTTCTTTTAAGCTGTCAACAAAAATTTGTGCCACATCATCATCTTCACTACTTGCAGTAAATGTGACTGGACTGCTTTGATATACACTTTCATCAAAACATTTAATATAGTACCAAAATGAACTTGGAGTATTTCTTTGATATTGTTTTGTATAGGAGTCATTTGGATTGGGTGTGCAAGTGTTGATAGGTTTAATAAAACTTTCAAAGTCAGCATAGTCTTATATATTTTTTAAAATGATTAAACTTTATCATTGTGTTTGGTTTTGGAAGTTCAATACGCACTGAATTGTGAGTGTCCCAATACAATTTATGATTTAATAATGATTAGTATTAAATCCTAATAAACAGTTTCTACAATAAATAACTTCATGCCCATGGTTAGATGTTTGTGATGAAAGTAATCTACTTAGACTTTTTATTAAGCAATAATGATTAGTTTCATCATTTGAAATGAGTAACGTTTATTTGACGTAAACGGTTTTTATTATCAGATATGCCTAAAGGGTAAACTGAACTTTCATATCCAAAGACATTGACACTTATATGTTGATTATTTTTCTCTGTGTGTTCAGATTTAATGATACTGGTAATTGTATTTTTTCCTAATTTAATTTATCAGCTTGTTCTTTAAGATCTTTATCTATTCTTTCAGGATGATTATCTTTAGGATTTAAAAATCGAGCAACACACCACTTAAAACACTCATTATCTTCTTTATTTTTCATATTAATGATTGCTTTTTTAGCGGCTAACTTTTTATCAAGTGGAATGTAGGATCTAGCATTGATAGGACTATTTTCAATCATATTTATATCCATCTTTTTAACAGAAACAAATTTCCAACTTGATCCTAATTGTTGAAATGTGGACAAGGATTCTAAAATTTTCTGTTCAACTCTTTCATAGAATTCATTTAAATCTGTTGATTCTAATACAACTTCTGATTTTGTTGAAAATGTGGTAGTTGTTGTAACAGTTTCTCCTGTTTTAAGATCAGTACGCTCCATTTCACAAGAAAGAACAATATAGATCTTCGATCCTTTATTACTATTCAGTATTTGAATGACACTGTTTTTAGCTGATTTCATAAATGATAAAGCATCATATCCTGTAACACCTTCAGCTGAAAATTGTTTTGTTACATTTCTAAGTGCTAACTGCGTCAATGTAAATTCTATTGGTTTTCTAATTCCAAATTCATTATACAGATTAGAAACTGTAGATTTTAATTTGTTAATTTTTTTTATTAGTTGCCTTTTTAATAGGTTTAGGAACATATGACATCCAATTAGCAAACGAATTCACTCTATCGTTAACAATTTTAATATACCTACTTGGAACATACTGAGTTGGTGTTAAAGTATTTTGTGTAACTTCTTCTGGAATTGGTTTGTCTAATATGTGTGATCTTTGTTCATTTTGAGATAACACTCCTCTAAGATCTGCTTTTCTCATTCTTTAATAATACTTGATTTTTCGCTCTTTTGCGATTTGTTTCAATTCTCTGAGAGTTCTATTTTTCATTTTTATAAATACAAGAAAATTATTTATATCATTTTCAAATTTTTTATTAAAATTCTTGTAAATAATTAAAAATCTTGTCATAATATTTTTTAATTATAAAAATCTATTTAGAGTAAGTAAATGAAGTCGGTGTTACAGTAGTATTTGTATTAGCATTTGCAGAAGTAGCTGTTATACATACGTTTACATTTACATTTGAACTTTGCATCTTTTTTATATTGTTTGATTTTTTTTTAAATCTCTTTTGGAAATTTCTTAGAATTTATTAACTCAACTTTAAATCCATCTTCAACTTTTCCTTTTCGTAATTCAATATACCTATATCCATGTTTTGTCTCTTTTATAAATTCATATAAAGACTTGTATATTTTTTCTTCTCCTGTTTCTATGTTTGGGAGTTTAATAGTTACTGGCTCTTTTCTAATTGTTTTTAATCTTTTCTTTTTTAATTTTGGATCATCGCATTCTTTTTTTTCTTTCATGGGATGAATCCTTGGTCTCTTCCAACAGGTTTTTTCGCTTTTTCTACTTTTTCTTTTTTCACTCTTTTAACTCTTACTATTTCTGGACAAACCCTTGGTCTTCCAACTTTATTTTTAATATATGCATCTGATAATGCAGACTCTTTATCAAGTAAACCATTATCCATAGCAAGCATGACTAATGTAATAAGGTTATCAGAAGTTTGTTTAATATTATTTTCTTTTAGTAAATTTATTAAATACTTTTTTGTATATTTCATTTTATTATATAAAGAAAAAAAATTTAAATTACTTTCAAATAATTTTAATTATTGGATTTATCTTGTTTTTTTTTTATTTATTTTTTTACATTTCTTCTTGTTATTTATTTTATAATCTATTACTTTTATTCTAGTTACCTTTTTTCTTCTTCTAATCTTCTATGACGTTCTGCTATTCCATCTTGTATCAATATTACTTCCCATTTTTCTTGAAACCATCTTGCTTCTTATTCTATTATTTCGTCATATGTTATACTTTCTTCTGCTTCTAATCTTCTTTCTTCTCTTAATCTTAACTCTTCTTCTATTCTATAATTACTTTTTTTCTTGTTGCTGCTATTCCTTGTCTTGTAAATCTTTCTTCTAATCTTTCTTCTAGTTTTCGTCTTTTTTCTTCTCTTTTGTAAGCAATTTCTTTTTCATATTCTGTTTCAAAGCCAGAATCATCTAAATCACTATTTTCATTTTCATTTTCATATTTATTTTCATACACTACTTCGTTTTACAATAAGTTTTCTTTTCTTTTTATTATGTCTAGAAATTTATTTATATCATTTTAAACAAATTTATTTTATTGTATATTTTATTGTACATTTTTATTATATCTAAAACTATATACACTAATAATTATGGATCATTTTATGATCTAATATTCAAATCTCTATTAGACTTTAGTCTTCCTAATCTTTCTGATGTGACAAAAGCAAATGCTTCAGCTTTCGCTGAAACATTTGCATTAAAATATCCTATAATTTAAATATCTGATACTGAAGGTTTTAAGCTTTCTGATTGTTTGCTTAAATCAAAAACCATAAGTGGATACAAATCTTTATATTCTGAAGGTGTTATGTTACAATTTGAAATGATTTCTTTTGTTCCATAAAAACTTCCTTTAAAAGCAGATGCATCTTTATAAGTTCTTGAAAATTGTTGATTTGGAAAAGATAGTTCATAATCAGCTTCAGGAAATCTTACATTATTAATCATGACTTGCATATTTGTCAAGTTACAATGATCGAATAATAAAGCATTTTTTGTTTGATCATTATCTTTATTTGTTTGTAATCTTACGATAGCATATCTAGGTTTTTCATCACTTTTAACACCAAGTTTCCTTGTCACTTTAGATGTTTGTTGAAGAGTTATAGTTTCGTATGATCTAGAACAAAAAGCTGCTAGAATTTTTACTTTTTCTCTAATAACATTATCAAGATTAAGTCTCTCTGTATCTGATGGTGTGATATAAGGCATCCATAATGATGCTTTTGTAAGATTTACTTTTCCTGCAGTTACTCTAGCAGATCTAAAAATAGCATCATTGTCATGTTTTCTTTGTAGAGTTAATGTGTGTTTAAATCCGTAAAGTACTTTAGTATAATCATCACAGAATCCAAAAACATGCTTTAAAGGTATAATAAATGAAAATGTACCTTTATCAGTAGGTTTCTGAATAATGTAAGCTTGCCTTGTTGCAAATTCAGGATTATTAACCAAATCTGCAGTTGATGTACCATCTTTGTACCATAGTTGATTTAATCCTCCTGCTAATTGGAGGTCATTTTAATATTTGAGCATTCCCAACATTGTAGTTGCTTGTCCTAAATTATCTTTTGTTTCTATATTCTGTTCTGATAAATCATATTTCATTCTTTTAAATAAATGCACAATTCCATTGCGTGTAAGTGAAACTGCATCTGTATTAGCATAGGATGTCTTATTTGCTTTAACAACTCTTTCTTCAACTTGTATATAAGCTTTAGATGGAAGAAAAAATAAATCTGTCATTTCAATATTAATTTTTATTGGTACTGTATTATTTATATCTGTACCAGATGGTGGAGTATATTCTCCAAATTGACATCTGTAAATACTTTCATCAATAAAGGGTTGATCTGTTAAATTTAAACTTTCATAATCAGCCGTTTTTATATACATAACTTTTTTTTTTAATTCATTTTCATTAATATTATTAATGAAAATTTCAGAAAAAAATATTATACCATTTTTAATTCTCCTCCTCTTTTATCTAATTCTTCTAGTTTAATAGCATTTGAATGGCTTAATTTTTTATTTAACCCTCTTCCTCTCTTAACTAATTCTTCTAGTTTAATAGCATTTGAATGGCTTAATTTTTTATTTAACCCTCTTCCTCTCTTAACTAATTCTTCTAGTTTAATAGCATTTCAATGGCTTAATTTTTTGTTTAACCCTCTTCCTCTCTTATCTAACTCTTTTAGTTTAATAGTATTTCAATGGCTTAATTTTTTAGATGGTTTGGCAGATCCCATCATAATCTTATTTATATTTGTTGTGACTTCATTAGATAGGTTTTGAGCTAGATCATTAGCTCCAGATTCAACTAAATTTGAAAGTACTTGTTTCCTTTTTTTACTATAATATCTTTAGCAGTAGAGATTGCGTTTGTAGCTAGTTCTTTACCTGCTACTTTTGCTGCATCTATTGCAGTTTTTCCTAAATTACTAACAATAGCTTTATTAGCTAAATTACGTGATATTTTAAATGCATTATTAATTAATCTATTATTAAGTAGACCTCTAAAAGAACAAAATATACTACTTCAATCGACAAAATGCTTTTTAAAAACTCTTTTCTTCGCAATCAACATTTTTATTTACTTACAATTTTTATTTAAATCTCTTCGGGATTCATAAGTAGTAATTTATTTTAACTAGCGAAGCTAATCTGGATCATTTGGATCTGCATAAATCCGGATCTCAAAGAGATCTAAATTACTTTTGAGAAATTCATTTAGTTTCTATTTCCTAACTCTTTTATTTCTTAATTTGATCCCTAAATTAATAGTAGACAATCTATTCTTCATAGCAGATAATGGCCTAGTTACATCTGAAGATTCTACTCGTCTAACTAGATCTTTAATACTATCAAATATGTTTTTTCCATCGACAAAATGCTTTTTAAAAACTCTTTTCTTCGCAATCAACATTTTTATTTACTTACTTTTTTTATTTAATATATTTTTAAAATTGTTCTGTATTGATTTATACTCTTCATCATTTAGTACACCTTGACCTAATAATTCATTACAAATTGCAACAGCTTCATTTCTAGCTCATCTACTTTCTTCTAGTAAATATCCAGGAAAACCTAGATCATCTAGCTAGCTAGATGATCTAGGTTTTCCTGGATATTTACTAGAAGTAATAGCATCTGTTTCTTTCAATATATTTTTATAATTTTCAAGATCATTTTCACTATATATATTTTTATCAGGACTAGCTTTTGTCAACAATTCCCAAAGACCAGTAGTTCCAATATATTTTTTATCATCAATAGTTATATCATTATTATTAATTAATATTGTTTTTTTTCCTATATACAATTTTTTATCTTTTGAGTGTATACCGATTGTAGTATTTGCTGCCTTTTTATTACTATATGCTGACTGTTGATAATTTGTTGCTATAGTTCCTAATGAAATTATTTTACTATCAGGTTTCATATCAGATTTAACATCTTTACTCGTTATTTCTTTAGTTTTAGGTATACCCATTATTGCAGGATAATTTGATAGAGTGATAGCTAAATGATCAGCTTTATTTTCTAATTTAGCTAAGTTTTCTTTAATTCTTTGATTGACTATCGATAATAGGTTTGTATAAATTACCCAAGTCATACTATAAGTCATCATATCCAAGCTTTTTATTTACTGCATCTTGATATATACTTTTTATTAATCTTTCAAGCTTTTTAAAAGCTTCATTTCTTTTCTTCGGATCTACAATATCTAAAAGTAACGTTTTTATATACGTAACATTTTTTTTAACGTATTATATGACTATTTATCAACGTGATCTGTTTTAAATAACGGGACCACATGTTAAGCTAATCATACAAAGAGGTGCAAATTGTTCCCTGCTAATTTAGATAAAAAGCTAAGAATCTTGACCTTCGAATCCCTAAACTTAAGCAATAAAGACGGATCTACTGAGACTTTTAGTACCTTGAAACCGTGGATATTCAATCAAGAGACTTCTAAATATGCGCTAGCGAAGATACTGATTATGGATGAATTATCTTTTATGCTTGTGGAACGAGATCACTACATCAATATTTTGATTTTTGATAGATTTAGGGTCGCCAATCGATACTTTGTTGAATCTACTTTCTAACAATTCCATAGCCTCTTTCATAGCTTTCTCTCTACCCATATCTATTAATGACTCTTTAGTCTTTTCATCTATTTCATTTTTAGATTTTGTTCTTATCTGTTCTAGCATGACTTAAAATATTTCAAACTCTGTCATAATCATTTTAAACTCTATGTCATAAATACACCCATCTATTAATGCTTTAGAAATATGATCACTTATTGTATTTTATTTTGCATCAGCTAACATTTTTATATTTTCATGCTTCTTTTCTTTCAAGTTTAACTTTTTAGTAACTTGAGATACTATTAATGACATTAAACCCATACCTAATGCAGCTCCTTTACATGCAATAGCCACCGAAGCTGCTACAATAATTGCTAAAAAACTCCAACAGCTGTTGGTGCAGTTGCATTAACTCTAAACTGGCTAAGATCTGGATAAGTATTTTTACATTCTTTATTTTTGCACTCATTATAATTATACTCCATTTTATAAAGAAGTATTTTATTTTAAATCAGTTTGAATAGCTCTCAATTAATTTATTTTAATGTATCGACCTTGGATGCAGTTCTATTTTTTACTTTAGAACTACTTGCAGGTGTGCTAAGTATATTATGCGTAATTACTGTACTCATATTTTTATTAGATACAATTTGGCATAAACAATCCCCTTTTTTAATATTTTCATCTGACTTGCCACTATTATATTTAGTTACTAAAATATCATTAACTGATTCTGCTATAATATTATTTAATAAATATAAATAAGGCTTATGTTTTTCTTCTTGTGCAATCAACACATACCCTTCTGTTATTTTTAATCCACATTTTAAAGAAACATAATGACATGAATTCTGCTTTATTGTAAAATCTTGCTGTGCAAATACTCTATATTTTTTAATATTAACATGAGTTGGAGTATGATCTAAATTCCGACTATATATTAAATTTATTTTTTCACTTTTTTTAATATTTTCACTATTTCTAATATTTAGATACATTTTATGCATTTTATAAAGACGTTTATTTATTTTAAATCGTTTATTTTTTTTTTAAATGACATAAATAAAAAATCTTGTATATATAAAAATGTCATACGTAAAGATTGAAAATTTTGATGAGAAAAATTTATGCGCTGATGAAGTATTTAATTATTATAAGCCTGTTTCTTATCAAAAAAACAAAATTGGTTATAAAAGCAAAACAGTTTTATCAGTAAAAACAATTAAATTATTTTCATATGAAGTTTGTGAAAATAGAGATCCAAAAACGAATAAACTGACAGAATATTCAATTCCACTTGTTTGTTTTAACGATATGAAAGAAAAGACTGAAGAAGAAAAAAAAATTATTACAATCTATTGAAAAATTTTTTAGAGATAAAGTTAAGAATTTTAATATTGACAACTTAAAAATTCTAAAATGTGATGATAATAAACCTCCGGTTATTTTTGCAAAAATACCAACAGAAGGTAAAGATAAGAAGATGGAACCTGTATTCAGATCTAAAGATAATGATGAAATTTCAGGGCATGTTCTTATTAAAAAAAGATGTTATATTGTTGGATTTTTAAGAATTGTTTTTATTGGTTCAACGATTCAATCTATACAAGTAAAATTAGATGAAAAAGAAAGTAAAGAAGCTACAAAAGTATTAGATATAGATTTATAATAATTTTAATAATAATTATTATAAATATAAAGAATGGATATTGAAGTAAATAACGATAAATCAAATATCACTACAATTCAATTTGATCCCATTATTGAACTTGATAAAACAAAAAAATATGAAATGGCATTTATAAGATTAGAAATTGTTCACTATAGTATTACAACTAATACAAGATGCTTACATATATTAAATAATCTTGTCGATGGAAAAAATATAAATGCTAAGAAAACTACTGTAATGCATACATTTCTACCTATTACTTGTCCTTTAGGTATGAGCATTGCTGAATACTCACAATTTTTAAGTTATTTACCATTAAAAACCAACACACTTTCAGAAATGACAGTTGAAATTGTTGATGACGATCGTCATGCTGTAGATTTGAGTAAAGAAAGATTATTAATAGAATTTCATATAAAAGAAGTAGAAGTTATTATTAAACTCCTTCCTTTAATACATATATCCATTTTCAATACTCAAGAAGAATTTTCTTGAGTATTGAAAATGGATATATGTATTAAAGGAAGGAGTTTAATAATAACAAATAAGTTTTTATCAACTATTCCACTTGATGAAAAAAAAAAGATTATGGAATGGCATTAATGAACTTAGAAACATATAATGTACTTAAAAATATTACTGCAAAAAATATTACCTTTGCTTTCAGTACAAATGGAACTAATTTGGCTATTAGAGCTTAGTGATATAAGTGAATGAATGCATAACAAATAAGTTAAAAATTATTTACCTATGAGTGCAATTCGTTTTGAGATAAAACCACATTTGAAGTTAAAATGACTATTTCAGCAGGATATAAAGTTGATTTTTTAATTGATAATTCAATTAGAGATCTTTTAGGTTTTAGCAAAAATATTTGATGAAGGTACATATTTATCAGAAAATGCATTAGATATAAATCACATTAATACTATATATGTAAAAAATGATATTATAACTGTAGCTCCAGGAGCTAAAAT